TAAGACTTTTATGAAAAGCAATAAAATTCTCGTAGTTAAAACTGCTATTTTTTTTGTTTTATCACTTGATTTATCTGAACATTAAGAGACGTCAGAATTTATCCTTTGAGGTCGTGAGGACCTTTGTGATATACGTTTGCACAACGTAGCTGTTTTTACATATATTGTAAAACAGGAGTTCCTTTGCGAAACATTTACGAATGTATGTAGAATAATAAAGGAAATATATGATAAGAAGAAAAAGCTATAATAGAATAATAAAATAAGGTTTCTTAAGACTCAGTGAAATCTTGAAGGATTTGTAAAAATTTCATTTTCCAACATTTTGTGGCATAATTCACTTTTGCCCCATCAATCCCACCCTTCAATCTGTACAATAGATAAAAAACGTTCTTTTTAGAAGCCACGTTTTTCCACGTTTGCAAGACCGACAAGGATTGCATGGTTAATCATACTTTTTGCAACACGACCATGAGCCAGTGCGACTGTCAAAGAGACTACATCTTGTCAAACAGCAAGAAAGAATGCCTTAAAAGTAACGACGATCAATCTGAATACTTGAACGCGAGTTTGACTTTCACTCGAAGTTCGATGCTAATTGATTCGTTTTTTTTTTTTTCTTTTTTTGTACTCAGAGGCTGAAACATTCGACTTTCCGTGTACAGAAAGCAGACAGTGTTCGATACTCCTACCGAATACAGTGTGTGAAAATAATCAATGTGTTTGCATAGCCGGATACCATCCAGTGGAGAACGCCTGCTACAAAACCATTGGTAACAGCAAGTTTCGACAACGTCGCGGTTTCTTTGACCGATCAAGCCATTTTGTAGATGATTCCGTATCTTCGCCGAAAATTCAGTGAAGAATTCTGAACCTACTTCTTTCGTTTGCCTATCTATCCTGTAGGATATCTGGCAGAATGGACACGAATACATGTTGCATCATCATGGTGTAAAAAAGAGTCAAATTATCTCTTTATATATATCGAACGATGTATATTAAACAGTATTGAATCGGTCAAAAAACCGAGAGGGAAGGAAAGAAATTTTCTTTCTTTCGTCTCGCCAAGCAAGGAAAAGTAAAAAGTCGGGGGGAAGGAAACAAGAAAATGTCGCAAGACAGCTTTATTGAAGAGGAAATTTAGTATTACTTTAGTTTGCTAGAAACAATCTAAGAAGACTTGGAAATAAAATCAATGTGTTACTTTAGTCTACTAATATAGAACTTTTATTGTTTAAGCAATAAATATTACGAGTTAATTTCCTTGTGACAAAGCTACTTCACGAAATTCATTATTTCTTCTGCTTACTCTCTCAAATCAATCGTTATAAAAATAATCAAATACGTGCAATTCAATCACAGGTATGAGAGAGTTCTGTACCAAAGACGAGGAATGCGCTCACGTTAGCGGTGCCGTGTGTACGAGTAGCGACGTTTGCGATTGCCCGCAAGAGACCGTGATCAGCGAGGACGGGAAAAGATGTTTGAAAGTGGCGCGCGATATCCTGGATGAATGCGTTGAAAACGTGCAGTGCGCCCAAACATTTGAAAAAGCGGTGTGCGTCAATCAAACATGCGATTGTGAAGCTCGGTACCACTTCGAGCCGGAAATGAAACGATGTTTCAACAACAGGGGTACGTTCTGTCCATTTCTTTTGATCTTTTTCTTCGTTATAACATCGTTACTAATCGTTTCGTAGGATTAGACGAGGATTGCGGCAATACGTACGACTGTTATCAAGACGAGAATGAAAATGTGACGGGCAAGGCGTTGAAGTGTGAGAAGAACGTGTGCGTGTGCGCGGAGAATTACACGAGAGAACACGACAGATGCGTGAACGGAGGTGAGGATAAAAATCCGAGCCTATTTGAAGAGTACAGGCAGAATCGTGATAACCTACTTGCACCTTGCTTTTACAAGGGAGTAAATATAATTCGAGAAATTTAATATCTGTCAAGCGAATCGCGTTTTAAACGAAACATTTCGAAGCAAACCTCTAGCAAAATAAAATAGTTGGCTAGTAAATAAAATAGTCATCCAGATTCCACTTTTTTTTTTTTTTTTTTTTTTTTTCAAATTGCATTTGTCAGACATTGTCTGTTACATAATGTATCTTCATTGCAACGTATTTTCTAGGTTCGTTTCTACCTGTTCTATCAATTTTCCTCGTCTGCGTCGTCATCTACATAGACTTGAGGATCTAAAAGGGAAGTAATTCATTTCGATCGACAAACGACGTACAAACGGGAGAGTACAAGCAGCGTCTCGGTTTGCCTCGGCGCGTCCTCGTCGACGCGCGCGCGAACGTGAAACGCAACACGCGGAGCGGGATTCAGCACGTGGAGAGAGTGGAAAAGGTAGCAGAACGCGGCGTGGCATCGGATGTCCCCGCGACGGCGTAACACAAGTTACGCGTCGAGTGCATCGAGAGAGAAGAATAGGCCGGGTGCACCGAACCGTTTAAAGACTTCCTGCGGGCCGCGCATGCAATTAACGCGCTCAAAGCGACTCTCGTTCTATCTTACACGCAGGCTGTTTCAATGCCGAAGGAACGGATAGGCTCGCCAGCAAGTGGAAAAACTGAACAATCGCGTCTAGTTTGCTTCGGTTCGAGTTCTATCTCGTTGCGAGTTTGCCACGGCCAGATAGAGAAAGAGAAATTGATATACTCAAGCACGAGTGTATCGAGCACTCATAACGATCGTAAAACAGGGGAATAATAGTATTTTATACTTTCCATAACTCACGAGTATTTGCACAATTACGTTAAGCTCAGTTTCTCAATTCGTTCTAACGAATCATCTCGATGCTTGGCGCTTCGATAACTCTAAAAATGATCAAACGGTGCGAAGCGTATCGAATACTTGGTTAAATGTCAATCGAGATGTGCAAAGTGTTAATTATTGCGAGTCTTTGGATATTTTATATTTTTCACAACTCGTCTCACTAGTATGATTTGTAGATTTGTGTTAAGGTCTCAATTTTATTTGAATTAGAGACAGGTTCGAGACTTTTACGAATTTTTATATTAAGTGTTTCATTGTTTCAAGGAGATAGCCTACCGTTTTTTTTTTTCTTTCTTTTTACACCTATGCGAAGTTAAGCAACCGTCGTTGATAAGCATTCCGTTTTCATTTCGTATCTTCTAGTTTTTTACATCGTTGTATTCCTAGGAAGAAATTTGTTGTGTTACTTTACAAGAAAAGTTACTATCGTTCTCATGATCTTTTTTTTTTAAAAAAAATACAGTATGTGTTAACAAACGAGAGTTTTATTTTTCACCTGAACCTCTCAAAATAGGACAGTTCACTTGTTTGCTCTCTTCATTGATAATTCGATTAAAAATTTATCTGATTTAAATATCTTCTCACACCTTTAAATATCTGTTTGCTATCTAATTATAATCAAAACAAGTTTTATTTGTTTTACATACGATAATTGTATATATCGTGTTTTCAATTTATTTACCTATACATTCCTCTACAGAAGTGTACTGCATACTATTACAATCCTCAAATGTTTACAATTTAATGTTATTCTCATTTTAGGAAATAAAATGTAAATTTGTCTCAAGTAGATTTAATTTAAGTAAAACTTAATTGCACCGAGAAGAATTTTTTAATACTTCGAACTTGAGATATTTATAATTTTTAAAAGATACTAATGGATCGAGAATGGCCGAAAGGACGTAGCAGACTACCTATAAAATACCTATCAACACTCTTCTTTTTCTGTTTCAATCCGCAAGTAGTATCGTTGAGTCGTAAATACAGTAATTTAGAATTAGAAGTTTAGGATATTTGACTCTAATTTTGTATTTTGTATTCTTCCTGATGAAGATTAGCAATGAAATTCAATTGAATCGCAATAATTACAAATTAAATAAGAACTAAATTTAAAAAAAAAAATATATATATATATATATATATAAAATTAAATCAAGAGTTTTAAAATCTTCTAAAGTAACTTAACTCCAAAAATTGTTGCGATCACAATGATACCAATCAAGCGTGTAATTAAATATCTAAAATTTGCAGATTTCTGTAACTGACGATACACACATACACACACACACACACATATATTTGAAACCGTCGGCATAATCGGAAATCTTAAGCTTCCAATGACACACGTTCGACGTAATAATACCGTGTCGCGATTCGACGATGCGCGATCAAACACAACGCGGATGATGATACCCTCTTCGTTCGTTGCATTCATCATCACGGGCTTATCAGCGCGCGCCGATTAGATAAAAGGAAAAATCGTGGAGTTTCGGAAGGAGGAACTTCGTTAAATCGAGAGTAGAAACGATATCGAGAGGGTGTCGCGTTTCTCCTCCGATCCGATCGAGGAACGAAACAGGAGGAGAAAATAAAAAGAAAAAAAGAAAAAGAAAAAAGAAAAAAGGGAAGAGGAACGTGCGAAAAAGCGGCGAGCTCGTGCTGAACGATGAGGAAGATGGCGGGCTTGGTAAATCGTCTCACAATGGGAGGTCTTGCGCTGTCGATCGGCCTCTGTTTCGTCGTACGGAGTGCAGTCGTCGCCGCGCACGGTCAGCATGAACATCTACTCAGCAGACGTGAGTGTGCTTTTCGCTAAACCATCGTTCGAAACCGCGACACGTACAATTCCATCGTCCCATGCGAAAACATGTGATCGAATTACGTCGTCCGCGATGTTCTCTGACGCGAATGCAATTTGAGAACGAGTTTTTGCCAATTTTCACAAACGAAAGGGAGGGGGTTTCAATCTGTTTGCTCGCACAGTTCGAAACTTGAATTTCGACGAAGTGATGGTTATGTCTGTTAACGCGATTGAGTTCTTCGAAGAGAAAATTCTTTTTCCATCGTGCAACGCAAGCTGAAAACGATTCCTTTCAAATCGGAGTTTGGATTTGAATCCTCGTTGAAATTTGAATTTCGAAGTGATGATTGTCCGTTAACGCAATTGATTTTTCGGGGCGGGAAAAAAAATTTGTTTTTTCTGTCGTGCAACGCAAGCTGAGAACGATCTTTTAAATCGGTATGTTTTGAATTTGAATCTGAGTTAGAGGTTGAAACCGGTTATTATACATAAAATGGAAAAATAGAAATACTCTCTATCTATCCCATTAACACGATCGATCTTTCGTGAGAGTATTTTCATACCGTAATTTTTGAAAACAATCGTCCCGAATTTTAATGTAAATTCACATTCGAGTTTGAACTTCAATCTAGAGGCGACAATTATCGTACGTGAAATAGAAAAACAAAGAAAATCTTGTATCTTATCCACCTCATCAACGCGAGCTCTTCAAATCGGAGCAGAAGAATTCTGAAGATTCCTTAGCGATCTGTCTCACCGATCTGTATATCTTTCAGGCCCTATTCCTATTCTATTCCTCGAATTAAATTGAATAACGAAATATTTTCAAAGATTTTAAAATTCTCGTTTCTTTCAGTGTATCACATCCACGTGTCGTTACAACGTTCTTTTCGTCTTAATTTTTCCGACGCGAACTCTCTACGCTTTAGTTGTCGGTAGAATCTCTCTCGATGTCAATGACATTTTTGTGAAAGCACACAACAGTGTAGCGCAGCTAATGAACTCGTCGAATGCAACTCGAAAGTCGAAAGAAAAATCCGTCTAGAGCACGGTCTGGCCGAGGTTTCTTCCGACTCGATAAGATCTCGAGATGCCCCGGGACGTGGTGAATTTATAAGGAAAGTCTCGCGTGGTTTCGTTCCTTCATGACCGAGTGATCCTTTCTTCGGGTTTCGTGGGGAAACACAGCCGGAGAGGCCGGATCTACGCTGTTGGTTCTCACAGTTAAGCGAACCAAAGCCTTGGGCTTGGAACCGCACATAATTAAAGAACAAGGGAGAGAGAGATCGTTCCCTCTCGTCGTCTGATATTTCGGTCTGACGCTCTGTTCTACGTGCCGGATTTTGCGCGCGTACGACTCGAAACAAAGCTCATGCTAGCTATTACGTGAAACCCTATTACGAAGTCACACGGCGACCTGGAAAACAATGCCAGCGTTTTAACCCTCCCAAACTCGTGACGAAATCTGTCTATACACGCGGCTGCTCGGGGAACCCCACGCGGAGAGACGGAATCGCGACTAATTTTCATATGTACCAACAACAGAGGAGACGCGTTATGAATACAATGCGGATATTTATGCCAGATAGATTTCAGATTAAGGCAATGGAATTCAGGTGGAAAGTCGTCTAAACGAAGAATAATTAAATTCGTCGACAGACGAATTAAAATTGAAATTATAAAAAGTCTTATTACCAAATTTAATTTAAAGGGCGGGGGGGGGGGACACGTGTTACAATGTATCAAAAGATATTCATCCTTAATTTGTTACGTTTTAACTAATTATTTTAAGATACTATATACTAATCTCGGATTATTTACATGATACATTTCAAGGATTAACATTGACATTTATCTGTATCACATGTATAGCAACTTTTTATTAACATCATATATATATATATATATATATTTTTTTTTTGAGAAATATATCGTATTTGAGCTTGATAAATGTAATTTTTCTTTACAAAATTACAACGCGTACCAATTGGACATTTTATACATTTTCACGCATTTTTCCCCGCAAAATCCGCAGTGTAGCTAGCAATCACGTTATCTCCATTCGCGTAATCGTAAATACACAGTTTTACTCACGACTATGAAATACAACTACAGGCACGGCAAAGAATGAATCAACGATAAAAATAGCACGACACAAAGTCGCTAAAACACACACACGTATAAATGGCCCTCGGTTCTCATAAATCATTGCCCCAGGAATCGAACAAAAGTTTCTGGCGATCGTCCGACGAACGAATCGCTACGTGACAACGATGGGAAAGAATAAGGCACGATACCTAACAATGGCTTCTGTGTTTCGATGTACCTCGAGTCTGGTTGTGCAATAGGCCGAAACTATGCTGGAAGCAGAACACGCGAAACTCGACCATCGATCGACCACGTTCGAGTGAAAGACGTCATCGTAATTATTAGGGGATATACCATACTGGCTTCAAATTGCACGAGACACAGTTCGCAGAATGTTTTCTTTTTTTCTTTTTCTTTTTTTTTTTTTTCACCCATTCGAATCAAACTAAATACTTTGACAAAGTAAAGAGAATCTTGTACTATTATGCAAACATTGTGTGCGAGCGAACTTGACCACGATCGCATGGTTTCGCAGTTGAATCATCGTCGATTTGTCACGTCGGTGGTACACAGTGCAACCTGTTACGCGGCCGCGACGAAACATCGTCGCGATAATTTGCGAGAAGATTTCTCGGATTAGATCGATTGTTCGTCGACACGACGATGCATGGACATCGACGATCGAATTGAAAGTGAACGTTCACGCCGTTTAATCGAGTTTACAAAACACGATCGGCAGCGTTTCGAGACACGTTTGACTAAATTTCGCTCGCAAATTGGTAAAACGTGACCCCCGCTTGCTCCCTGTAACAATGGCAACGCGGATTGCTTTCGGTTATCGATTCGCCAACGCGAGTTAGACGCTTTTCTAAAAGAGCGTTAGAGAGGACGTACATGCACCAAATCAAATTTCGTTCTGTGTGATCCAAATTAAAAAGAAAAATTATTGTAGTGTAAGAATTCATATTCAGTAGTTCAAATTAATCACGGATCATTGCCAACTTTTGTTAGCAGCATTAGCAAATAATTGATAATAATGATTAGAACATCATACACGTTAATAGGGATAGCAATTAGTATCAATGGACGATGGTCGAAAAAAATCTCTACAGTCTTCAGATGTGTTTCGAAAATCACTTATTTTAAGAAGGAAACGTTGAAATCTTCCTCGTTCATAAACTACACAATACGTTATACATACAACTTTGCGTACACATTAAAATTCTATTTCATTGTATTTCGCACAGACATGCTGTTACTTGCCTTTTTTTTTTTTTTTTTTTTCTTTACTTCATTGTGTCACGCAGATACTTTATTATTAGTCGCCTTTGACAAAGATTGGCACGTTATACTGCTGAAACTAATTGCAACGATTTTCGGAACGAAATGAAATTTTCGGTCGCTGTTTGAAAATTCCGATCCGGCGGCAAGTTCCTCACGCTCGAGCACGCGCGGCCAGGAACGATCTCAGTTTGGTGATAATCACGACAGACGAAACGAGTCACGACAGACGAACAAGCCTGTACACGACCTAGAACGATGCCGTCATCGAATCTAACGTGAGGCGTGCCGATAGAGCAGCAGAGGTTGTTGTTGTTGCGTAACGCGAGAGCCGAGTGAGAAACACGCAGAAGAAGACGACAGTGAGAGAGAGAGAGAGCAGAGGTTGTGATTAGTGCGAGAGTCAGCCCGCGGGAGAAACGGGGGAGCAGATCCTTCTCGAGATCATCGGGAATGACGACCACTCGATCCGGACTGATGAAACGACACGGAGAGGAAGAGGACGTTCCAACGGCGGTACGAGAATGACAACGATCGGGACGGTGGTCGGGATCTCGAGGCTGCTCGTCCTCGTGCCTGTCACCGTCTGCGCGACCATTTCCTACGTCGACCAACAACAACCGCCGCGATGCAGCGACCGAACACCGCCATCCCGTATGTATACGCGACCCTAGAGACCCACCGCGCTCGCGACCCTCAACCTTCGCAAATCCCAAACTATAGCCTTCGAAAGCACTGTTGAACAATTCGTTCGTACGATGCAGCAATAGAAAGTTCGTCAGTTCTGTTTTTCACGCGCGTAGCTAGACAAATTGGTAAGAAGAGAAGAGTGAGAATGCCCAACAGTCTGTACGCACGGTTGGTGATTTCTTATAAATTTAGGTCTGACGTATGTCAACAACATTTAACGCTTATATTGTAACTAGGAAATTCCATCTTTGCGTTTTAACACAATGGATCAGCAATGCTTCTGTCTTCCGAGATTCTCCGACTAATATGCAACTTAATCTGACGATTAGTGGAAACGACGATCCTTTAGGTTAGGAGAATATAACTCGAATGTTCGCAGGTGGACGACACTTTTCTTAGTATGATCGAGATTCTCTTTTCGGTCGGACGAAGCATGTCCCTGTTCCACTGCGATTTTTGAAATTTCTTTTCAGAAAAACAGGAACGCTTAGAGGGAGTTTCATTTTGCGATATGCAAAATGAAAGCACGATTATTGTGAAACGTCGTAGAGGAGATCAGATCAAATTCGATTCTTTGGATGCAAATAGGGGAAACGTAACGTGCTGGTGAATTTTTCAGAGACGTTGGCCAAGTGTCAATACGACGACGACTGTATGAAGAATGCTTACTGTTGGAATCAAGAAACCTGCCTGTGCAAAGATAATTATATCGCGTATAAAAATCGCACACACGTGGAATGCCTGAGAGGTAAGCTTTCCAAGTTGTCATGAACTTTATACTCTCATCAACATAACGAGGAAAATGTAAGATAAACAGAAACCTGTCAAACTACTTCTGTCCATCCAGAAGTTGAAAATCATAAAATACGAAAAAATAAGTAAATAAATAATCATATATAATAAAAATAATAGGAGAAAAATATTTGTCGGAAAAGAAATTCGAAAAAAAAGGACGCCTCGATTAGATTGATTATGCAATTAATTTATTGCACGCTTTCGCATTCTAGCCGGAAGCATTTAACGAAATATTTTTCGCGGGAAACGACCGACCCGATCGCTTCGAATAAAAATTTCTAATTAATCGACGTTCTTGTCGTCAAGTCGGGAGTATCGGTGTCGCCGACCTCGCCGGTAAACGTGATTCCGCCAACATCTTCCTTCGTTCGTATTCCAGCCGTCCCTTTCTCACGGTCCCCCGTCTTCTAGAGCGTGTCGCGTTCATCGTGCTTGCCGGTCCGACGAAACCGAACTATATTTTCCTCGTCTCTTTCCCACGCGAAGGCCAACCCACTGGCTTGAAGATCGCGGAAAATTCACCGGTGATTCGAGTGATTGATTCGCGGGGGGAATTTGTTCGCAGTGGCGAATGCCATCGGAGACCCCTGCGAGGAGGACATTCAGTGTCACGTGACCTTCGCCCCTTACTCGGAGTGCCGACAAAGTATCTGCCAATGCTCCGACGGTTCTCACTACGAGGAAGGAAGGTGTTACAAGTCTGTAGGTGAGTGTACTCCCGCTTCCTGCAGAGGAAACGCTTCTTTCTTCGTCTATAACGAGGTAGCTATATTGCAACAATTTTGTCACCTTCGCCTTCCAACTGTCCAGAAATTATGTTTCACGCCACTCGATTTATTACATTACAGATATTTCCGTTTCAACGACGATGGAAAATTGTCCAAGCGAATCTTTGGAATTTTCTTTCCTCTCAATATTACAGTTATCATAGTTTCGTTGTTAAAAAATTCATAAGACTTTGTAAAATTGTGACATCTAGCTGAACGATACGAAGCGGATTTTGCCTTCTCTAGTGGTTTCTAATATTGAAAAATAGAATTCAGTTCCTCTTATCCTTTCGCAGTTTGCCTGATTTAATTCATTAATAAATAGAATTGGGAGTCGCAATATTAAGAAATAAAATTTGGAATTTCATTCTCTAGTCCGAGCGTTAAAAATTAGGATTAGAAACTTTCTGTCGTGTATGTACATTAAAAAAATGTACAACACGTATGTAAATACTTTCTAAATTCAGCCTGTTTGAACATCATCATCGATTCTTCCTCAGGACTGGGACTTCCTTGTCAAACGCACCGGAACTGCTACATCAAGGACAGTTACTGCGTGACAGGATTCTGTGCGTGCACCTTGAAGTATCATCCGAATCCACGCAACGATGGTTGCATTCCAAGTCTTGGTAAGCGTCTCATGTTGATTTATCTCACGGACTTGATTTATCTCAACTATAAATTTCAACCAATTAGCCCGATTAAACGATCCTTTAAACAACGAGATTCTAGAAAGAAAAAGGAAAACTTCTATCCCATTATATAAACTATTCAGACAAATTCCACGCCAGTTTATACACATACGTAGATGAATTTCTACTCTTTACACGATCGTCGTGTTTGACCAGAATCGAATTGCGATTTACACTTACATTCGATTTACATCGAATTGCGTTCTCGGCAGAGCTAGGCGACAAGTGCAGCAACGATTACGAGTGCGTCACGGAGAACTCGAGGTGCGTCGGCAACTGTTCGTGCAAAGTGGATCACGTGTTGTCGAGCGACGGCAAACGATGTCTGAAAGTTAGCAATTCCGTGGGCGAACCATGTCAAGAGGACTCTCAATGCCAGTTGTTTCAGCTGGAGACCGAGTGCGGGCCCAGTGGCAAATGCAGCTGTATCGAGAACTACCATCAACGCGGCTCCATATGTCTCCGAGATAGATGTGAGTACCGTTATCCTTCGCGCTTCACGCCTAATCGAAAACTAATTCGACCGCCGTGTGAATCGCCGTTTCAGTCTTGAACGAAAGATGTCAAACTCACAGAGAGTGTATCACCGAAACGTACAGGAATTCCAACTCCACCGACGTGATGAACGTCGACTGTATAAACGGTATGCGCACGATTTTTAACGAGAGTTAAAAAGTTAGATAGAAAAAAGGACGTATCGTATCGTTTCTAAGAGGATTTCCTTCGATTTTACAGGCTTCTGCACTTGCGCCAATGCCTACATTATGACGGAGGAATTGTACGATTGCATCCGATACAGCGACAATGGTAAAATGGAGTACCTCCATCCATTCTTCGTTGTGAAATTTCTTCGTGAAACAATGGTTGGATCACGCGGTAAATGAATTTCATTCATTTCCAGGAGCCGCGACAGCTGCAACACCTTGGCTTCTTCAAGGTCTAGCTCTTCTATTCTTTGCCAGTTTTTCAATCTTGTGAGCATCATTGAGCAACGATTCAAGAGACACGGCAGTCGTTCGTAACTTCACAATTGTACAACTTATATTTATTAATTACGTTCCCCCTCTCATTGTAAATACGCTGCATTCGTGTAGATAGAGACGAACATATCGCTACCAAAGATAAATCCATTTTCTCCAGCCGGTTCGTATTTATTTATATCACAGAATGTTAATCACTGTTGAACGTGTATCAAACACTTGTTGGCCAACGGAAACTGAATCATTCCATTTTACGACGATAAAGTCGACTGAAAAGAATTTGTTATCTCCGTATGGACATGTAAATTTAATTAAGAAATGGAATCATCCATGTAGTTTCATGGAACGTTAAATATATTGCACTGTTAAAAACTGACTCAGCCTCTGTTGTCCAATAATCAATGCAAATAATATCATGCAAAGATCGTACAGTTGCTTTCATAATAATGTTACACTAGAGCGCATAGCAACGAAAGATAATTTATATGGAAATATATGCGTTGACATACGATCTTTGGCCTTTAATTTGTTGCGTTTACATTTCCCAATGCTCGAGTAACACGTTCAATCTCTGTTACCATTATTATTAAATGGTCATACCAGATTTGTCAGTAATTTCATTTTATATTCATTTCATCATGAATGTCAACTGATAGTTGAAATTATTTCGACCATACGCAATCCTTTTTCTAATTTTTGAAACATGCAGAAAGTCAGAAATATTTCGCTTTCACGATACAAATTTGAAAATTCTTTTCAATGATAATGTACGTTGAAATATGCAAAAAGGTTTAATTAACTTTTTCATCGATGACGTGTATCGAAATTGATATCGAATCGTACAAAATTGGCAATTGCAAGAGGATGATACGAATGGTTCTGCGACTCACTGTACAAATAAAACAGCGAAGTGAAAATTTTTCAAAAATTCTACAAAATTCTCGATTCATTTAATCGTCAGTGTGACTGCTTTGAACGACGACGATTTTGATCTGTCAAACAACTTACGATCGAAAATTTCGCTACAGCGGATTCCTCTGAATCAAAGAAAGATAATGTGCAATACAAAACCAAAAAGCCTCCAAGAAGTCTGACTAAAGTGAAGAAAACATAGAAAGAGCATTGTGATAAACACGATTGAACAAGCAATATTTCAGTCAACATCAAATCAGCAATCTGACAGTAATAATAATAATAATGACAAGTAACATAAAATCCACTAGAGGATCATACTAGCGGATTGAACGTGTTAAACGACGTTCTGCGCGGAGAATTTGCCATTTTCCAGTCTTCCTTTATCATGTCCGCGGCCTTTTCAGCGATCATATAAGCGGGCGCGTTCGTATGGCCTGCTATTATAGTTGGGATTATACTGGCATCCACAACTCTCAGACCGTTGATCCCGTGCACCCGTAACCTATGGTCAACCACACCTGAGTTCCTCCTCGGGGCCATCTTGCACGTTCCTACGAAGTGACCCAGGGTCGTGCTCACGTGCCTCGCAACGCAAGCCCAGTACGGATTAGAATCAAACGAGATGTGTTTGCATCCTGGGAACCCGACCGGCAGTAACGTCGCGTTGAAACGTTTGAAGGCTTTCGTCGACGCAACTTTCACAGCCTGAAGAAGCCAGTAAAAAGTCATTTTATGACACAGTAGAGCAGCAATGGTGAATGTAACAGCGATAGTCGTGTATAAATAAAAACCGATAACTTTGAACCTCTTAACCGGGGAATATTTCCCTATCTATTATTTCGAAATGACTATGTATCGAATGGAAATGACATTTTTAAGACTGTCAGAGATTCAAATCGATCGTCTGAATGTCTTGGGAATTTTGAAAGTTCTAAAGTCTTGAAAGCGCCGGGAATGTTGAAGGTGTTAGAAATTTTGAAAAGTCTTCAAGGCTCTCTGAAATCTTGATAGCGCCCGGAGAGGTCTTAGAGGCCTCGAAAATTTTGAAAGTCTTGCAACTCTTCAAGATCTTGGTTATTTTAGCTCTTTCCTCTTTTCGAGTTACGTTCGAAATGTTGCATCTACAGTTCAACGTCGTTCTCTCGATGTGGAACTTCACCCAGTCAAGAGGCGGACGATGACGAGATTAAGATAAACATTATCACCGCGACCTTTTTGATAACAACCTTTTCGATGCCTCGGACCATAGTCGCGAGATCGTCCTCGTGATCGTAGTAATTTATTTCGAAAATAGGTCGATCGAGTGGATCACAGCTCCTCAAGGTAACTCTTCCTCTGCTCTTCGGCTGCAACAGTACCGGGACAATGGTGAAGGCGTCGAAACCCTCGTAACCGGTGAACACTTCTTTGTAAAATTCGTCCGTCAAACCGAGAAGCCCTCTGTAACTGCCCGACGTATCTCCTGTCAGTGCACTTATACCTAAAACTAGTTCGATGTCCGGCACTTCCGCCCTTTTCGTTTCCCCCCGAGCAACCGAGCCTGGGTAATTCTTCAAGTAATTCGAATTCACGTTGATGGATGTTACGTTTGGAGGTTGAAAAGAAGCTGAAACTAGTAAGAATATCTTGTACGAAGAGTC